CTCCTGGTTCCTCTGGACTAACCCTGCTGTTCTTGGAGCCCCAGGGGACTTACTGCTACAGAGCGAGGAAAGGGCCCGGCACCACGTCTGGGACTTGCCACATGCATTTGTCCTCTACTGGTGTTGGGTGGGTTAGTGGAGGGTGCCTTGGGATGCTCGGCACTAGCCAGGGGAGGGGGGTCACTGCTGAAAAGCAGATGTGCTAGCGCGGACCACCTTTCGTTGGAGGGCATGTGGGAGACCAGCCAGCTGGGGCTGGAGTGCAGGGCAGGCTGAGGCTCTGCGGTGAGCCCCGGGCCCAGCTGGCTTTGTAACCACCGTGGGATCATAAAGAAGGCCTACTCTTGAGGGAGAGGGTTGTGGGATCAGTCCTCCTTGGAACGCTCCCAGGCCATGAGCAAAAATACCATACTTTGCAGGGGACCTCGAGGAGCTTGAGGCAGTTGTCTGTAGGTACCTTGAGCTTGGCATGTTGACTCTGACCCCCGAGTCTTAGAGGCGGCAGCTGGCTGCAGTGGGCCCTGCCACCCAGTGCAAGGCCTGTTTTCTATTTAGAAAAGAATTTTAAGTTATTTATTTATTTATTTATTTATTTATTTTTAAATGCATGAGTTCCCAAACTGCATGCCTGATTTGATTCTGCTCTTTTTAGTCCATGTACATATGTGTATTTAGATAAATGTGGGTGAGGAGGGCCTGGGCTGGGCGAGCTCAGATGTCAAGGCTATTACCTGCAGGCTCCGATAACAAAGAGGTGCCTGGGTGGTTTTTAATCTTTGATCTCTTATGTGTTCTTTAGTGAGCAGAAAAGAGTTGAAATTCGGAGTCTTCCAGAAAGAGGACTGTCCTCCTGTTCATGCACTAGCTGTTCTTTCCCATCTAACCCTGCCATTGGATGCATGGGGAAACTGAGGCTTCCAGCAAGGACCTGAGCCCATAGGGAGGTCTCTGGCTTCAGAATCCAGCGCTCTTTACTTCCCTGCCCTAGTGGGAGGTTCCATCCCTGGACCCCCCACAGCCCCGACAGCTGTAGGCCATGGTGAACGTCAGGGGCTTTTGGTCTGGGTTTTGTGTTTTTAGAGAAAACTCACATGAGATGCTTTGCTGAGTGCCTTAATGGAGCTCTAACTCAAAGCTAGAAACCACAGGGAGAGGCCGATTTCTAGCAATCCGGAAAGGCCTGGCTCTAGATGGCCGGGTTTGAGCAGGTCTTTGAATAATAAAAGTTGTAATCATTTATTGAACACCTGCTGTATGCCCTCCCATCTCAGAGATGGGTATAAATAACAGCCCCTGCTCTCAGGTGTGGGGGTGGGAGGAGGGGGTCTGGGGGACTGGGTTCTGTGAACCACAGGTAGTACTTAACCCTTTTGTTGCCTTGTAAATCTGTTGCTGCTTTTCATTTGCTTCTTTGTACTTTTCTGCCCCTTTGAAAGTTTTCCATTATGAGCACATATTTTCTTCATAATCAAAGAATAGCAGTATCTGTCATAATTCAGGTTAATTATTTTGCTTATGTTTGCTGCTGGATGAGGCTTTGAATGATAAAAGTTGTCTCCTCAGCTTCCTGCTACCTTAATCACTGCTAATACGGCTTTCCTTTCATTGGAGCCTAGCAGAAATCTGTCCTCCCCACAGATGTCAGAGAATTGCACCATCCACGGTTACCCCAGCCCTGTATTCAAAGGACCATGGACCCTGCACCCACCCACCCACAGTTCCTAGAACCATGAACTTACTTCTAATTTTGTAGGAAAAGGAACTCTCAAAGGGAGGGAGACTTGTAAATCATGCTCCCGGGTTCAAATCTTCATTTAAAAGTTTGGGGTATTTTTTTTTTCTTTTCTTTTTCTTTTTTTTTAATTCTAAGATATCCTTATGTGATATCCTTAAAATATAAAGAGCTCTTATATATCACTAAGGAAAAAGTCAAATATACCGATAACAAGGAACATGAACATTTTTCCATAAAAGTAGATCTTGAAGTAGCCAGCAGAGACCATTTCAAAAGGTAGTGACCCAAAAAATAGGTCCAAATACAAGAGAGGTACCATTTGGTAACTGTCAGAGTAGCAAACACCATACTTGGTTAAATAATGTTACCTCTGTATAATACTAGATTCGTTAAAAACTCATGTTTTCTTCGGCCGTGTAATGAGAAGGGAAGTGCTCTTGACATTCTTTAAGAAAACACGGTCGCTAATTTTCTTTTTCCTTTGCTGTGTTCTATAAAAAGGAAGCGTATACGAAATGATAAATGCTAATTTAAAGAATCAAGTTGGTGAGGCTTTCCAGATCTTTCTGTAAAAACAGAGCATGGATCTGGGTTGAAGGCTGGAGAGGAGTAGATCCGGACAAGGACAAACGGGAGAGGGCTGTGTTGAGCCCACTTTCCTCATGAAGACGTTTGTGTCTCTGTCAGGCGGGGTGCTCGTGTCCACCTAAGAGGCCGCCTGGGGGGTTCAGGGAGAGAGAGGGCAGGCGGGTGGCAGGGAGTACCCAGCCTGTTTCTAGCATCAGGCCCAGTGGCTCCTGCCAGGCATGCCACCCGGGGCCTCCCCAGTCAGGAGCTCCATCTTTCCTGTCCTCATCCCCCAGACAAGTTGGTGCCACATTTGTTGAATAAAACATTTAGTCAGTTTTAGCAAGACAAGGTTATGCTTTTCCCCATGTCGCCTACTCCTACCTTCCTGGTAATTACTGTCGCTGCCCCCGCACCTACTTGGCTGCGGGGCTTGCACAAAGGTGTGAGTCATTGGAGAAAGACCGTGTCCTGGGAGGGCACCTCAGTTTGAAGAAAGATGGCATTTCTCCTCCAGATCTGTATTCACCTATATGCATACATGCATTGGTGTGTGTGTGTGTGTACATGTATATGAACTTTTTTCTTTCGGTAGGAGGGTGACTTCTATGAATGATCTGATGTTTGGAGGGATAGGTAGGTGAGAATGAGCCAGAAAACTTCCACTGAAGAGTTGGAGGAGAATTTCATGTCCACGGTGAAACCCCGATCATGACAATGGAACGGTAGAGACGTAGGACGGTATTTAAAAGCACAGAAAGAGGCCCAAGCCTTTGTCAGGATTTTGCCTCTGGATTTCAAATGAGTGGGGCAAAATCGTACTGAGGCCACTGCCTGAGAAGTAAAATCTATATTCTGTACCAAAATAACTTCCTGAAGGATTAAAGAGTTAAATGGAAAACCGGTCTCTGACAAAACTTGAGGAAAATGTGGGTGCCTGTTTACCTCCCTATGATTTTTCTTTAAAACTTTCCTGCCCCTACTTCCAGGGAATGATTGTTGGCTGTAAATCCTGAGAAGTTGCATTTCCACAGACCCACCAACCAGAGACAAAACAGTGCAGCTAATGGATAGCCTGGCATAGTCCCCCAGGTGGCCCTTGCCCAGATAGTAGTGGGGTGAGGGGGGCGGGGGGCCCTAGACAGAGGCAGGCTGGCCCCTCATTCTCCTGAGTGGGGCTCTCACCTGAGAATGTGGAAAGACCTCATTCGTGGTGTTTGGGGATGCTGGTCACACATGACAGGATGGTTGGCGAGAGAGAGTTGCCTGTCGGTAGGCAGAAGCATTTGAGAGGTTGGGCTGGCTTGGCTGGCCCATCTCCACTCCAGTCTCTTTAGCTGGGTCTGCTAAGACGCCCAGTGCCTGCCCATAGTGAGCCCTCCTTGCTTTCAGATTACCGAGCTTTCCTGGTGCACAAATATAGGCCATTCTGTCCCATAATCCTCCACAACCCCGACGAGCAGGCAGGACAGCGGTGACCCCCAGTTTGTATAGGAAATGAGCTGGAAGGCCACTTGGCTAGCCCACAGCCCTCTGTTGCTTGTACGGGTAATGGCCCTGGAGCCCAGATGCAGGGGTCACTGGTGGGTATCTGTTCATCTTGCCATGGCCAATGGGATTCACACATTACCTCATTTCCTTCAGTCACAGTTGGAAGTTAGGACTTCTGGTTCCTCTTTCCTGGCTGAGGAAAAGGGAAGAAGTGAATTCTGCTGCATTTGTAAGAGAAAAAGCGGCCTCCTTCAGTTTCCTGACCCCAGGGGGCTCACTCTTGACCCAGAGAACAGGTCAGACCCCTGGGAGGAGATTGGTGGTTGAGTCTCAGATTCTCAGTGGGGGGTATGTGTGAGGTTGGTGACATGGAAGTGGGAGTAAGGGGGTCCTGCAGGAGGAGTTGGGGGGAGGGGTGTATGCAGGGTGGCAGTGGGGTGGGGGCGTGTGTGTGTGATTTGCCCCATCAGCCTCACCCTGCCTGTGTGCGTGCAGGCCCAGGTTCAGACATGCTGACCACATGGCAGGTGGGACACAGATTGCCTGGAAGGAAGCCAGGCTGGGGAGAACGACGTCTGTTCACCCCCGGGAGGCATTTGCTGAGGCAGATGTACTAGGTAAACGCTGGAATAGCAGCATTTAAGAAGAAAAGTGCCTCCACTCCCCGTGCTGTACGGCCCACCTCATCTCTTGTGGCCCCCGGAGACCCTGATGGGCCCAAAAGACCCCTGCCCTCCTCAGGCTCTCCAGGGACGTTTCCCAACGGGGCTCCCTGTTCATTCATTAAGCTGTGGGTAGTGATTGACATGCGCTCCATACAGCATGCAGCCTCTTGGAGGGGATGCCAACATTTATAAAGCCTCCTTCCCCCCACTGCCCTGCAGGACCCCCATAAAGCAAGCTGAGTGTGTAAGGCAGGGTGTCCATACACTGGCAACAGCTGCCGTGCACTGTGCTCTGCGGTGCATGTGCAAAGCGGTAGACGATGTTCTCCCATTTTAGAGATGAGAAAACAGAGGCTCGAAGAGTTCATCACTTGCCCAGTGAGAGACACACCTGGGAGGGTGATGTTCGAGGAGGGTCTTCGAAGGATGTGGGCAGACCCATAGACTAGGAGAACGGGGGCAGGGAGTGGGGAGGGGTTTGGAGCTCCAGGTCTCTCAGGGTGGATCCCGCCTCTCACTCTCTCGCTTCCTTGTCTCCACAGAGTGCAGCAGCCGCCCCGAGCCCTGTGCTTGGCAACATTCCCCCCAACGATGGGATGCCAGGAGGCCCCATCCCGCCGGGTTTCTTTCAGGTACGTGCTGGGCCCCCTCGGCCCCCTGCTCCTTTCGCTCCAGGCCAGGCCCAGGTGGGCAGGAGGGAGGGAGAGAGAAGTAAGTAGCAGCTCAGTTTGCCATGGTCTAAATACAGTTGCTTTGTGCTGGTTCCAACCCCTCCCATCCCTTTCTCCACCTGTTCCAAAACCTGAAGAGAGGAGAAAAGAGATGGGAGCAGTCGCCCTTCCTGCCCCCCACCCCCCACCCCCGGCCCCCTGCACGTGCTGTGTCACTTCTGCCGAAGTGGGTTTTCTTCACACCATCTTCGAAGGCACAGCACAGCCCGCCCATGGTCGGGGAGGCAGTGGGGAGCTGTCTTTTATAACAAAAGGCTTTTTTTTTTTTTTTAAATAACAACTAAACTGTTCTTTGTTTCTGTTGTGTTGCTGCTGTCATCGTCATTGTTTACTTTGCCTGTCCAAACTACCAACCTTAGGCGTAATCTAAAAAAAAACCAAAAAACCCACCATCCTGGCAGGTCTTAGAATCCTTTCCCTCTGGTTAACCACTTCATTTTTTCCGAGTGCAATCGCAGTCGGCATCCCGAGAGCATCTGTGCCCGCACTCCGCCCGCCAGAGGCAGGGGCACATCCCACGTGGGGGTGGGAGTCTGGTCTTTTCCCAAAGACCCCTTGTCAGCCTCTGTCTCCTATCAGGGTTGGGGGTGGCTGCCGGGCCCCTCTGTGCCTACTCCGCCCCCTATCTCCATGGTCCCTTGGCATAAGGGATAGGGGGTTTTTCGATTTTAAGCAGGCTGAGACCGGGGGTGCTATCTCAGAAAGGAGTTAGCATGCAGGGCTAGAAGGAGCTTCTCTGAGTGTAATGTTTCATTCATTCAGACCAGTCTGTGGCAGGGTTTGAGAACCTGCCTCTGTTCCCCACCCCTTTGAAAGGCTAACACTTCCAGATAAGACTATGGAAAGAGCTGTCATATAGAAAAGAGTGCTGAGATCTCTTTCTGAAGCCCAAGAATTCAAAACTGGGAGCACTGAGACAAAGTCCAAGGAGAATTTTGCTTGGTTTGAGCCAGAATTCCATACCTCTTTGCTTCCAGCGGTGAGACGCAGGCTGCGGGAGGCGGGGCTCCCTGTTACTAAGACATCTAAGCCAAAGGGGGACAAACCCCTCTTAGGGATGTTCAGGGGATTTTCTCCCTGGGTGGAAGATGGCCTAGGTGACACTTCTCCCTTGTAAGATTTCACATTTGAGTTGATCTTGACTCTCAGGAGAGAAGAGTTTGGACATGCTGCTCACTGTCCAAGGAGTGAATCCGTGAAATTTAGGTGTTCCCCAAAACCAGAAAGAGCGGGTTGCCCACCACCATGATGGCGGTGAGGGGAGTCATAGGGATGGCGGTTGAGGGCTTTGGGTGGCCACACATATATCTGTATATGTTCCCAGCATGTCGCCCAAACTGGAGCCTTATCCTGGGGTGGAAAGGGGTACAGCCTCAGAAATGGGGTGTGTAGGCTCTAGGTTAGACCAGACCAGGCATTGCTTGGGGCTTGGCTTGACGTAAGCAGGAAGAGGGGCTAGACTTGGAAGAAAATGGGACATTCATAACGGACCCAAGAAAGAAAGGAGGCAGACAGGCTTCTGCCCTTTCCCCAGAGGGGAAGCCCAGGGGCCGCTGTCTGAGACGGGCCTCCATGCCGAGGGACAGCCATCTTCCTGGCCACTGCAGGTGGGTGTCCTGTACCTGGTTGGTCTTTCCCCCAGGTGTTACCTGCTAGGGCCTTCTTTCCCAGGCTCACACATCCTCCCACATGAGGCCACGGGTGCACCCTGGACACAGTGCCGTTGTGGCTTTCCTGACTGGTGGACAGAGCCCCGGGTACCGGTCTCCACCTGCGTGCCTGTTGAGGCTGCTCGCTGGTGTCTGAGTGCCCAGTGCAGGCTGCTGTGGCGGGAAGAGGTGGATAGTAGCCAGCTGCATTTGTTAAATAGGCCGTTGACTTCTATTTTGGCCTGAGTCTGGGGCTAGGCAAGGTCTGCCTGATAATGTGGGCAGCTCATAACTTCCTGCTTTGGTAGAATTGTCCATGGTTAAGGCCTAATTCCAGACATACTTCTCGGGCCCTCCTCTATGACGTTCAGGGGTGTGTGGTCAGAAAGCCCAGACCGAATCCTGTCCTTATTTGGCCACTTCCAGCCACCATCAAACAGAGGTAACTTTTGGACCCTCTTGAGTGGAGGTCTTTTCTGAACCCCAGTCAGGATGAACCCACCAAGAGTTGGGGCGGGGGTGGAGGGTGCATGGAGCCAGGGACCTGTGTGCCCCAGACTCTCTACTTCCTGGGTGACTTTGGCTTTGTCCCCGCCATACCCTCCTCAGGTGAGGACATTGTTTTCTAGTCAGTCAGGTGAATATGAAGGCAGCAGAGGTGCTTCCTGGCTGTGATGCTGACCCTCTCGGGCTGGGTCAGTGCTGAGGGTAAAGGGTATCTCTCCGGAAGGAGGTAGTGACTGCCCATTTCCGGAGTAGGCCAGCTCACGACTAGAATATCTTCCGGAGTAGACCAGCTCACGACTAGAATATCAGCTATCGATTGCGGACACTGCCCCTGCCTCGGCTCTCCCACCGCTGCTTTGCTATTCGAAGGGAAATAGAGATGCTATCGGGTTTAATCGGCTGCCAACAATTGCACTTCTTCCCCTGCTTGGCCGCAGTCTGGGCGGGCAGCTCTGTGGCTCGCGGGGGGTCTTTGCACCAGGATAGCTGGCCTGGGTTGGCTGACTCAGCTGCGACCAGATCCTGTCCTCCGGTGGCCGGCCCAGTTTTCACATCGGGACTCCACCCCTAGTTGGTGCCAAATTTCGAAGCCAGTGGGGCCTCCCAGGTGGGTGGGTGGGTAGACAGCAGCTGTCTACCCATCCCCCCAACTCCAGCCCCACAGAAAGGAACATAGGGGACTTACTTCCTTAGACTGGCAGGCTGCGAGGCTACTCCTGGGGTCGGAAGGTTTGGCCATCCACGCCTTAGGTTCCATCCGTTGGCTTTTTCTTACTTAGTGTTGAGGGGTCCTGTGGCACGAGATGTGTCTGATAACAAGTTGAGGGCTGGTGGAAAGATGGTTCAGGACCTGGCCTGACCATACCTCACAGTATTGGGGAGTATTTTGGGGTTCTTGGGGTTATGATAGAACTTAGCCAGGACGTTCTACTTCTGTGCGTTCCTTGTAAAAAGACACCTTCATCTTGGCATTCCCAGCATCTGGCACACACGAAGGACCCAGGGAGTGTTGGAACTGAGTTTATTCGTGCTGCTCAGTTACCAGGAGTAGAGCCCCGCCAGCCCCAAAGCTCTAGATCCTCATTCTGTCCAGGCTTGGAGGGTCCAGGGGCCGCGTTCTGGAGTGGGGAAGGATACAGAAGATGAGAGCCTGAGGACACCTGTTCTAGTCCCCTGCTTGTCTATACACTTGCTGAGTGACCTTGGGCAAGTTGCTTGCTGTCTCTGGACCCCAGTTTCCTCACCAGTAGATGAAGCAGGGTGGACCAGATGGTCTCCGAGGGCCTTTCCAACTTGGATTTTCTGCTTGGGATCCAGATGGATTTTACATAATCAAGCAGTGGCATTTTTTTTTTCCATGCAGCTTAAATCAGTTGGGCTGTACATCTGGCAGACTCTGCTTAGTTTTGGCCAGGCCTCCTGGTCTGGGTGGGCCCCCTCCCAGCTCCTTGGCCCTAAGGTAGTTCTAAGGGAGGTGCCCTTCAATGAGGATTTCTAGGTCTAGAGCTGGGGAATGGCAGGAGGGCAGGGGTCATGAAGAAGGGAGCATTGAGTACAGGCTGTTTTTGTTCTTGTTTTGTTTTAAATTCCAGTGATTGTTTTCAGTTATGTCATGTTTTTAGACATGGGACTTACTTTCATTTTGATCACCGCGCTTCTGCAGAGGGGAGGCATGGCTGACTGGGGGAGAGAGACTGGGAGAGGTGACTGACCTGCTCAGTGAGCAGCTACGGGTCATAATCGGGGTCTCAGCCCAGGCTTGCTGGCTCGGGACCCCAGTGTTCTAACTCAGTGGTCAGATGCATGTCTGGTTGTCTAGAGAGAGAATAGAGAACAAGAGAAAAGGAGGGAAATGATGGAGGGAGAAAGAGAAAACTCTAGCCATCTTCTCTCAAAAGCAGGCAGTGTTTCTGCTCCAACAGCCCTGATTGGTTGGCTGCCGGACCGCTGTTGGGAGTGATTCTTGAGCCGTGTGTGGGCTCAGCGGATATTGGTGGGCGTTGTCTGCCGTGAACATGCAGATGTAGATGGTAGTATGTGACCTCCGAATTTGCCGTCTCTGATCGAGGGCAGACTTTGTATAGGTGCAGAATGGATTGTATAGATGCAGAATGGAGGCCCAGAGGCAGATGGGACTGTGGTTTGTGATAGCGATCAGCCCCCTCTGTGAGGGCATGGGGCTTGACTCTGGGCCAGAACTGATCAGTCCTGGTCTGCCCCCAGGAGCACCCAGCCTAGCAGAGAGGCTTGATGGATAACCCATGCCCTGGAGCAAGAAATGAAGGGGCCTGCCTACCAAGGGGCTTCCTGGAGGCCACATTCTGGGGTGGGGTCCCAGTGAGGGGGAGGATAGGTGGTTGCTCCGTAGGAGACGTGGCTGGAGAGTTTGCTGGCAGCTTTTGCTGGACCTTGTGGAGAACTGTGGGCTCCATCCAGAGGTAGTGGAAGCCACTGGAGCACCCTGGTCTGGATAACGCCTGGGCCAGGTCCATGTTCCTGAACAGTTCACTCTGCACTGGCTCTGTCCACTCTTCGGAGGCGGGAACCTGGGGGCAGACCACACCGAAGATGGAGACTGGTGTTGTCGAGATCCAGTCGAAGGATTAAAGAGCGAGTCTTCTCTGGAAGACAGTCTTGGGGGACCCCAAGCTCCCTTTGCCAGAAGCTCATCACGTCTGCTGTGAACATCCCTAGATACTTTCTGTTGTAGTGGGACACAATAGGGGTTGACATGTCCTGTCCCCC